TGACTTGTTTGGATAATACTCTCTGTGAACCATATTATACATGTGGAATGCAATGTCTGCTTTCTGCTTATGGAGCTTGTGCCAATAATCAAACAATTTGTTCAGATTTTTATTACTCGTATCAAAATGTGAACGTTTGTGGTACTCAACAGCAGTGCTACGATACTACAACGAGTGTTTGTCTTGGAAGTAACGACACACTATGTCCAATCGGAAGCCAGCTATGTTCTGGAGTATGTTATAATCCGCAGTCACAATATTGTATTGGTGGTAACAACACTGTCTACTGTTTGGTCAATCCTTCATCAGTAAATTGCCCCCTTGCGTCTACAACATCTGTAGGTTTGCCATCCACAGCCACAGTAACTACACGATCGACTTCTAATGGTACTACTGCTAGAGCAACTACGATGTCCACAACAAGAAGCACTATCTTTAGTGGTGTGACAACATCAACAACAGCAGCTCCTGGTAGTACCTGTTGTGCAACAGTAAACTGTACATCGAACGCCGATTGTTGTCAACGTACTTTTGTGGAGTGCCAATGCTTTCGTCATAGCCAAACTGATACTTATGGTTTATGTATTAATCCAAATGCCACACCAGCATGTGCCAACAACTGTCCGGTACAAGGTAGATGTAAACTGGATTCGGATTGCTGCAAATGTCAATGTGCAGCGGTAACATTCACTGATTTCAGTGGAAATAAAATTACAAAAAAGCAGTGTGTACAACGGTAAAATTTTACCCTAATGAACAAATAAACCATCCGTTTATTCTGAAATATATTAATCGTGTGTTTTTTTTGATGATTTTAGCCTTTTCTCACTAACCCATAACCACTTTTTAAATTTTCTAATAAATATTTATCTGCCACTATTGAAAAAAGAAAACGTATAAAATCTGCTAAATCAGTGTGAGATTAAAGTAGTTTTGCAGCCTTTTTAGGGTTCAACCATTCGAAGTTAAGACTGGAATGAAATGAAATACGACGACAAAGCAAGTTTCTAAGCAACTGCTGAATGTAAATGACTATAGCTGCGAGAGCATACTCATGTTTCAATTCTACTAAAGCCTTGCTAATGAACTAGTATTTCGTGGGTGTGGGTGTGCGTGAATGGGTGTGGATGAATTGTGGATGGGTGTAGGTGTGAGAGTCAGTGTGTTGTGTCTGTGATACCCACACCCACCCATTAAATAACTTAACACGTGTTAACGGACTCAAACCTTCGAAAGTTTTCAACATCGTTAAGTTTTTT